TACGCACATCTTTCGGTTGTGTTCAAGCATAGATACAAACAATGTGTGATTCTTATCAGTTGAACATCTTTACCCCCCCCCCCAATATGTCCTTTTCAGCATCATTGAACAAGAATCAATATCGTGCACAAATACCGCAATAGAATTGTTCACAGATCTTACAAAACTATGTTAGGTAGAAAGAGTTGTAGATATAATGTCCAACTGCCATCCTTGAAAATATACAATATACTGTCATATTATCAAGTCTGTCGCATTAGAAAATTCATCCATCTAATCCCGATATCATGCCTCGATCCAATAGCAGGCAACACACAATGTTTTTTGTCAAAAATTGAAAATCATTTGGCTGTCTTTAAGTTAGAATAATTGCTGTGCTTTTCCATAAATAAGGAAAGTATTAATAAGGTAAGTAAAAGGGGTACCTTTATCATGACCATAGCTATTTAAATGATTAAGACAAAAATAAGCTTAACTATAAAAGGCGCTGGTTAGTGGTGACAGAGGTGGGGAAGTGACGACGCCGTCACCAATTTGTGTCATTGGTGGCGGATGCTCTTGCGAGCATGTGGCGTTATCGTCAACCCCACCTCACATGAACGAGTGCTGTTGTTAACGCATGACATATTGTGGGCGCTATTTGCGCATTTACTTTGATTTTAAACATCGTATGACATCTTGTGGCGCTATTTGCGCATTTGTGGCACTATTTTGTGCATTTGTGGCACTATTTGCGCATTGTGGCGCTATTTGCGCATTTACTTTGATTTTAAACATTGATAAATCAAATCTCAACATTTTTAATACCTGGATATGTTAATGGGATATTGGACCATTGAACAATATTGTAATGATTTAACATTGATGTCATTGTTAATGGGATATTGGCCCTTTGAACAATATTGCATTTCACATTGCTTACATTTATAATGTGATATTGGCCCATTGTATCATATTGTATTGATTTTACATTTTGATGGGACATTGGCCCATTCATTTGACATCGATACTATTTAAATGGGATATTGGTCCATTGTATCCATTTTGCGTGGCGTTGTGCATTCGCGCAATTTACCCAGTGCACAATATTTAGCCGATTTGGGGTCGCCACATTTGTTGTTGATTGTTTCGGAGATGACCCTGCGGCCGCTCCCAAATTTGTCATATGTCACCGCGACCAGATACGCCAAACTTCAAATAAATCCTTTAAATTACTAATTAAGCGTTATTTTATATAATAACATCTGAGATAATAACCCATATTCAAGCAACGTCAAGGAATGCACATCAGTGATACATGTGCATTGCCCATTTTAGATTGAATATGTGCTTCGCGGAATAATCCGGGTTGCGCATACCAGTTTTTTTTTGTTAGAATTGCCACAGTGACTATATATACATGGTATACGTGACGTAATTTCCTCCTTTCTAAGATAGCAGACGAGCACATGGGTAGAGCCTCTAGGTTGGTTCAGGCGATACAAAAATTTCAATTTTGGATCCATATTTTAAAAAACCCACCCTCCCACCGCATCCTTGTGCAGTTCACTGTTGAAAATTATATGTGTGTTTTTGTTTATAGTCGATACTGCCGTGTTTTTGCATTATATATTTCAGGAAAAGTCGAGACGCACGTAACACAGCCGTCATCCGTCAACGTCGCGGTGCAGTTACAGATGTCTTTCTATCAGGATTGTTCCATGAAGATGATGTTTGTTCGTTATCGTCAACCCCACCTCACATGAACGAGTGCTGTTGTTAACTCGTATGACATATTGTGGCGCTATTTGCGCATTTACTTTGATTTTAAACATCGTATGACATCTTGTGGCGCTATTTGCGCATTTGTGGCACTATTTGTGCATTTGTGGCGCTATTTGCGCATTGTGGCGCTATTTGCGCATTTACTTTGATTTTAAACATTGATAAATCAAATCTCAACATTTTTAATACCTGGATATGTTAATGGGATATTGGACCATTGAACAATATTGTAATGATTTAACATTGATGTCATTGTTAAATGGGATATTGGCCCTTTGAACAATATTGCATTTCACATTGCTTACATTTATAATGTGATATTGGCCCATTGTATCATATTGTATTGATTATACATTTTGATGGACATTGGCCCATTCATTTGACATGGATACTATTTAAATGGGATATTGGTCCATTGTATCCATTTTGCGTGGCGTTGTGCATTCGCGCAATTTACCCAGTGCACAATATTTGCCCATTGGGGTCGCCACATTGTTGTTATTGGGAGACGACCCGGCGGCCGCTCCAAAATTTGTCATATGTCACCGCGACCAGATACGCCAAGCTTCAAAAAACCCTTTAAACTAATTAAGCGTTATTTTATATAATAACATCTGAGATAATAAAAAAATTAAAACTTTCTATTCTTCTTTATCTGATTTTAATTACAATATCCATTGGCCTATATACAATCATGTATATGAACAGCCTGCCTGCCGAGAAAATCACCCCCCCCCCTTAAAAAAAAAAAAAAAAAAAAAGACTTAGTTTCATGTATTGCATTTATAACATAATTAACATTTGAGTAGGAATAATCTAAAAAAAAATCTTCATATTATTTCAGGGTGTGCTGTAATATTAAACACGATTATCGTTTTTTATGAAATGATTCCACACATGTTGGTTGTGTGAAATCACTTAGGAAAGTTTTAGCGGTGACTTGCATTCTGAGTATACTAGTATACACATGTATTATAAGTAACTTAAAACTTCAACCGCATTTAACTCAAAGTCCAGCACACATGAAGCTGTATATATAAAGCTGCAAAAAGAAAGAAAAACGGAGAAAATTGGAGTAATTAATTATAGTTCTGGATTTATAGTTAAACCGGTATAATATAGAGCGTTGCAAGCAATTTAACCTGAAATAGATAAGGAAATCAAGGGCAGGGGAGGGTGATACTTTTTAAAAATAAATCAATGATCCGCTTGCATGATCAACCTAGCTGTAATAATATTGAAGCCATGCACATGCATCCCTAAGAAATTTAGTCAAAAAATATTCACAATGACAGATGTAGATTTGTCGGGCCTGGAAGAGATTTTGTCGTCATTTATAAATTTTGTTTAACCATTATATATGGCACGCATATTTTTTTAAAAAATGACATCTGAATAAATACGAGAAGGGAAAGTAAAAAAGGGAGGATCAGTCGTCAAATCGCCCCTCTTTAAAACATCCTAGATACAGTATTCATTTGCCAATATCCCACGAGGACCCATGGATAATGAATAAATTAACACGTACAGCTTATAATGAACTAGAAAATAATCATCGCAGAAATGAAAACAAGAATTGTAAAAAGTTCCAGTCGTACATTTGTTTGTATTTGTATACTCATATTTATTTTCCAAAATGGCTTTACGTTCGCACCTGTTATAATTTTACTCATATGATTCCCCCCTCTTCCCCTCTTTCTCACTGTGTAAAAGACATAATATTCTTACTTATATAAGTTTTTACCTTTTAATCTTGCTACATGTAAAATTTATTTTAAAGAAAACCCGGCTTAATGTTTATTAAACCGCTGAAATACTGATAAAATACAACCAACTCTGCCTAAAACAATAACATTCAATCAATCGATCATTATTTTTTTAAAACATATAATTACACGAACAATGAATAAAAAATGAGATCAAATCAAAGAATGAATCGGTTAACTTTTACTTCATATGAACGCGTGTTTGTATAAGTATTAGACCAAAAAATTGATGAATAACGGAAAAAAGTTACTGCACTCAAGATACCGAATTATGACGTTATCAGCACCTTCATGGCGTCAAGTCACGTGATCCAAACATGGCGGCGCCCATAAATAAGGTCAGAGAATAGAGTATATACCAGTGTGTGCCCCCTAAAATTGTCAAAGTTAGCATAAAACGTAGTTTTGTCCAGAAAACGTTTAAAAATGTTTACTTGTTACTCGGTAGACCTCAATTTTACCCTACAAAACCTAGCTCTAGAATCCATGAACTTCCAGGGGCTTTGCCCCAAGGACCCCCACCAAGGCTTTGCCCTGGACCCACTGGGGGCCTCAAGCTGGCAACCAGACCCCCTGCCTAAGCTCTTGCAACCCCCCTTAACTTCAATTCCTGGATCCGCCCCTGAGACTCCTGTCTTGCCTTCTTGATAGGCCTATTATATAATGTACTACCATGATAACTTAGCTTCTTTATATCAGCATATTTTTTTGAATGTACATGTACACAAGTTAAATATACCTAATGGCTATAAGTTATAACAGCTGATATTTATAAAAAAAAAAAGCAGCTCTTTTCATAAGAACTTTACCAGGCATATCCTTTTACCTACTTCTTTGACATATTTTGCCTAGGAGTTATTCCCCTTAGCTTCCATCTTGTAGGGCAAAGCAGTGAATTTTCCTCTTTGAGCAACCAATTTTAAACCTAAATGCCAGAAATATATGGAGGAAAATATTTACAATCTCAAGATTATGAATTAACAGAGGCTTTAACAAATGTATTTTCAAAAGAAAAATCGTGTTAACTTTACCTCATGCAGTAACCAGTATAACAAATTGAACTTGGTTCACCCTTGAATAATGAAGGGAACTGGGAATGTTGCCCTACAACATGGCGGCCATGGGGAATAACTCTTGCTTTTAAATATGGAAAAACCATCTATTTTGAAATTTTGTACATGTATGTATAATTCTGCAGTGTTGTGTGATATGGCTTGCTGCATTTATATTTCGGACACTCAGGTGCAACAGTATTTAAAAAAAAAACATTAGGCCTATTCAGTTCACTAAGCCTTTACAATAGTATCTTGATAATATAAGAATGCAGAGAGCCTGTGCCAGGTCCATATCTTTCAACACACCAGCATGAGTATCTACCTGGATATATTATTTAAGTTGTCAACAAATATTTCCAAGAAAGTTATTACATCTATCTGATATAAAAAGTAGAAGATGAAAATATAAACTTACAGAAAATATGCAGTCGTTCTGCTCTTTCTTGTCTGCTTTCTCAGCCGCATGATGACGTAATATGTGACGTACGGCATTCCATAGTAAAACTACCTTTGGTTCCGTAACTTACATTTTATAACCGTTGTCATCAAAGTTCGACTTTAACGCAGAAATAGATTTTCAAGATAAAAAAAATTGAATGACGAAAATTAAAGTTATTTCCCGATTCTGTGACGAATACGAAACCGACAAGCCGAATAAGCCAGGTTCTACTTGCACTTCCTGCTGCAGGAAAAAAAAACAAGTCAGCGAAAGAACCTCATGTGACTTGTTTCAGACTTTCCTTTTGGCTGATTGCGCTCTGATCCTTGATACAAAGGTAAAAATGAATGTTTTTTAAATCGTTTGCCATATTTTGTGTTTGTAATGCACGTATTTATTGATATTCAAGTTGCAACGAAAATTTTCAAAGTAAATTCGGTTTCTTGTTTTTAATTCAGGTTCTACAAGTACGTAACGCGGCATGGTGAATTGATCGAGCGACACCTATTTGAAGGCTTTACAAAGTCTTGCGTAAGTAATTCAAAAAGTGATTGTGTAAGCCTTTCTAGCTCTTTTCTGACAGTTGTTCTGCTGAAAATTTAATTTTTCCATCAGATGTAAACACTATTTAAAAAGTGATTTTTATTTTAACTCTTACTGTGTGCATAATTTTGACAAATGTGTGGAGACTTGTAAACACAAAATATTTTTGGACATAGGTCTTACTAAAGAACCATCTTCTCGGGGAATGATTTGAGGGCTATGCCAAAAAATAAATAAATATATAACTATTGCATTTAACAGCTGTTTAATGTTTTCACTATTCAGGAATTCTGATCATTCTATGTAGATTTTTAAAAAAATCATCTTTTCAGTATTAAAAGTCTGTTAAATCCTATGTCATCAAATACAAATAATATGTTGACGGTACAGCTGTTATGGCGAGAACAGATATTTATTTTGTTATACAATTTAGACTGGGCTCGGCAAACTGCACATGACATTTGGTGCATCTAGACTCTGACGTCACTTGACGTCATATGTGAGTTACATATTTCCAAAAAGAAGCCTGAACAGTGATGAAAGTAAATGAAGAACATTTTGTTTACTATTTATCTTCAATACTCATCCATTAAATCAGGGCATTTTTACTTTTAGTTCAACTTTTGCTGCTATTCTCGTGAGATTGTAGCTTTAACAAGTGATGCATTGTGGGTCCTCAAAAAATTCTATCGTATAATGTTCAGTAGTCCGAATTTTCTCTTTGCACTGGAGTTGCTGTAAGAGCTCGCAGTGACGAGCGTTAATTCGCGACGCTTGCTGCGCGCGCTATCACAATTAAAATTAAATATTTTATTTCATTTGGTTACAATACCCCTGCGAGACGATCATGAATAATTCATGAATTTCCTTGAATTTTTCAAGAATTTAATTCATGAAATGTTCATGAAACGTTCATGAAGATCCTATGAACTTATTATTGGACATTTTCAAATCATGAATTTTTATTCATGAAAGAAAATTGATGAATATTCATGAATATTTTTTTCATGAATAATTCATGAAGAGTCATATTCATGAAGATTCATCATTTCAAGAATGTCCAATAATAAGTTCATAGGATCTTCATGAACTATTCATGAATAATTTGATGAATTTTTTCAGGAATGTTCATGAATGAATAAAATTCATGAACCATTAGTGTTCATGAATATTCTTGCTTATTCGTAAACAAATAATGAAATATTATTATTCATGTTTATTCATGAAAATGCATGAAGTCATGCTAAAAAAAAGTAACAGTAGATGATTTATAATACAGCATCTTGAAAGATTTTACAGAAATGTTTTTGTTTTCCAACCAAGGCAACAAAATCTTTGTTAAAAAAAATTAAAATAGACAATCTGACACATTAAACCATAGTAAATGAGTAATGTAGTTCATTCCTTGTAAAAGTATAAAAAAAATTCAATTCAAATGCAACTCTTTGCAGAATGTTTAACCTTACTTGGTCAAAAGGAGAGGGGGGTCCTTCCTCAGCATGTTTCAAATTGTGTTTTAATGCCAGAAATTGAACAGTTTTTAATTCCAGTCTAGGAGAAAAGTTTGTTCAGCACCAGGGAAACAGTTTTCAGTGCTTTCAAGCAGTTCGAGCAGAGATGGTCAATTCAAAAATCCTTATTGTCTCTCCATGTGGAATTTCCAGAATTTCATCATTTGGATCCTTTGATTGAATATCATTCATATTTTCATTTCTTTTTTTTTTTTTTTTTGTTTCTTTTTCAAGAGCTCAGATTTTTGTGCAGCCAGAGTTTCTTCTCTTCTGCTCAGCAACATTTGTGAACTGCTTTTCTTTTTCCTTCAAAAAGAAAGATTTTCTGAAAGTACACATGATTGTAAAACATAAGACTTTTTGTATTTTCTTGCATTTTCTTGCATTTTAGATTCATTTAATTTTGCATCAAAGACACTTCCAAATTTAAACATTCTGAGTGGAATTTAAGCCTATTTCCTTGGACCGCCATTTTGTAGATCAATCAGGCCTATGAGAGTTTTGAGTCTTAGTCTATAATTCATGTATGTTATATGGTCGGATCCAAACTCAAAACAAAGTTAGACAAAAATTGCATTAAAGAAAGAGCCATATTAATTTATTATAATGTGCTTTAATTAGTTGTTATTTTACAAATAGAAAGTAACATTTACAGACAGATTTCTGACTCAGTGATTGTCTCCATTTTTTGTCACTCACCAGTTATGAAGTAGATCGATCCTATATATAGTCTTCCTTCTTCATATTCTGTTATTTTCTTTAAAAGTTGACAAAGATCAGTGACTGTACTGTTTATTGGACACACCTTGTTAGAGGGTGAAAAACTACAAATTACAAAAGCATAATAAGAATTTGACAAAATATCAAAATCATAAGCAATCATACAAAATTAAATGCGTAACTTTAACATGTGAGCTGAACAGGCTCCGGGGCCATAAAACTTAGCCAGCTCACTTTTGAGATCAAAATTCGAGACGGTCTAGGTTTTTGGTCTCAGTCTCACGTTAGGTGTGCCATGAAAATTTGCCGTCTCGGTCTCAGTCTCACTTTCTTGGTTTGGTCTCACTTTTGAGCTCAAAAAGTTAGATCACATAAAAGGTGTCTAACTTCATAATTTTTGGTCTCACTTCCAATATGGCGTCTTCGGCAGCGAGATTGAATATTTTCAACATCATTCAAAGGCAGAGAAAAGCTCCCCGTCCGCGTGTTTTCAGGGATAGAAGTAATCCATTAGAAGATTTGGAGCCGAATGAAATCTATGTGAAATACCGTTTTCGGCCTGCTACTATCATGTTCCTTGTGGAATTACTGTACAATGATCTTGTAAGACCAACGAAACGAAACTCCGCCCTGCTCCCTCTTTTACAAGTGCTGGTAGCCCTACGGTTCCTAGCCACTGGATCATTTTATAACCTCGTCGGTGAACCACTGGGAATCACCAAGTCTTCGACTGGAAGAGCCGCTCGCCTTGTGTGTTCCCTTCTTGCGAGTTTTGCACAGAGGTACATCAAATTCCCCGTAGATCTATCCACATTCAAGAGTAGATATTATGATATTGCAGGTACGTGTATTTAACATCTTTGATATACAAACTATCATTTCACATGAAAGTTGATGACGTCAGTGACGTCAATTATTAAAAATGACGTAAAAATTAACATATAGTAAACATAAAGAACAAAAACAGTCTTTATTTTGAATTTTATTTTAATACGTTTTATTATTGCGCAATACCTAGTGGGCGTGGCACTGTCACGTGTAAACAATATCCCACAATGCACTTGGTATCCAACTCAGTTTTGGTCTCACTTTCCGTCTCGAGTTAGAAAATTTAAAATGAGCTCAATCTCCCTTTATGGCACACTAAAAGTGAGACGGTCTAAGTTTAGCCCGGAATCCGAGATTTTTAGATTGAGCTCAAAAGTTAGCTGGCTAAGTTTTATGGCCCCGGAGCCAGGCCTATGCCTATCGCATGCTGGAAATGCGCGGTTTTACAAAACATTGTAGTTGCAGAATTTAAACATGATAAAATATTTTGCATAATACTGTTAGATACAGATGATCAAGTTAGATATAAATTCAAGTAAAACAATATAAAACTTACTCCTTAGGGAGGCCAACATCAACAAACTTCACAGGCCAAAACGCCAGGCAAACCGCATGGCTACCATAATTAGTATAAACAGAATATTGAACCCGATCGAAATAAAATTATACAATACGAAAACGGCACAGTAACTATGCAAATAATAGATCACAAATACTGATTCTTCCATACTACAAATTCCCACTTCCAAAGTCTCGCGCGTTTTCAAGTTTGCGCCTTTTCAAAAATGTACGGTAGAGCTAAGAAATGCCTCAGTTTCGAATTTCCAAGATTTCTGTTTTAAAAAAAATTACAAACACTATCTGAATAACTTTTCACTGAAAATACAATATTTTATATCAAAATAAGTTTTATCAATGAAGAATTCGATTTTTTTACGTCATAAATTATACATGTATTGACTTTTAGTTTCGTATAGCAAGTATGGCGCCCCCCTATGACATGATAATAACAATATCTCGCCCTCAGACAGAATATTCTGAGCTGTGAAGACGCATAGGAGAATTAAAACTACAAAATACGAATGTGGATCATAGATACTCTACAACCATGCAGTCTGTGCTCTATCATTTACGCACGAAGCAAGGGAAACTTTTGACATTTTAACTGCACCAAAATTGAAATGTATGTAGCGTTTCGATCCAGGAATAATACGGTACAGTACAGACAAGTGATATAATTTTTAAGTTGTTAATAAATATATATAACGTTTTTTAACGAAGCTCACAAAGTTCATTTTCCAGAATGTTTCATTTTCCAACAACTTGTTTAAAGTTTGATGTTAGAGAAAATTCGGTCGAACAAAGTTGTGTGATGAAAAACGATATTAATTAAAGATCATTATGATGAATATAACTGTTTAATTTAATTTATGAAGAAACACAAGTAATGCATTTGAAAAAAAAATGCTGTCAATTGTGATGCAGTGTTTGTGTAATTAAAATCAAATAAAAACACTAAATGTTTAGAGATTTCATGATTTATTTTTTCAGATGGTGAAAGAATTATTATTAAACATATATTATACCAGGGGCTTGTTCAACAATTGCATCTGCATGCAAAGT